CATCAATTCACGCCCTAAGTCTAGAATCGATACCCGAATGCAGTAATTTCTGAATCAGTTTTTCGTGAGCGACAACATGAAATGCCTTCGCAAAATTTATTATTACGGCATCCACCATTCTACTATCATCAACTTTGTCTGCTATAACCTGAAACAAATGATACTATCTGACTCTCGCAAGAGCAACCATTCCTAAAACCATGCTGTCCATGACATAGCCATTCATTTTCTTCCCATTGTTTTGTCTAATACAGCTAGTTATCAAATGTTCCATTACCTTAAGTAAGATTTACTGATCTATAATTGCGTAAAACAGTTCAGTCACCATTCTTAAAAATCGGAACGGTAGCTAGTATCCAATAGTCAGGTACGCTTGAGTTGTTGATTAAAACAAATAATATTGTTAGATAAGGTAAAATTGTCTCTCCTCTGAGTTTAATGACAGTTGAAATGACATCTAGCCCCGCAATTCTCCATTTTTCATAGATTTAATTCGTTTTCGCGATGTATTTACGTCTATATTAAACTAATTTGGTACAGTCTCCCTCAATATTTGAATTTGGTGAGATTTTATATTGGAAACGGATATGAAGAAAATTGGTATTAAATGCGTTTGTTTTTTCTTTATCATCAGTTACGAAACGTCTTCTAGGTATCTCTAATGACAGAAATTTCTTTTTTTTCTGCGTCTGCGAACATATTTGAAAACTCCCTATTAATTATTTTCCTCCACGTCGAGAATGTGCCTTAAAAAATGTGTCCTGAGTGATTTTCTTTTCCCGCTCTAATTGACATTAATTGTTTTTGAGCACTTGTGAAAATGCATCATATGATTTTCACTATAATGTTTATAATTTTCTCTTCATTTGTCGAATTTTTGCATCGTAATATTCTGGATCTGAATTACTTTTTTAAGTATTTGCACGGCACAAACGTTTGCAAAGCATTGTCTAGAATGCTTTTAAAGGTGTTACAGATTTCCTCCATGCCTCCGCCTAATCTTAGAAAAGGATTACACTGTTCTCTGAGTTAGTACTGAAGCCCCTCTGTATTTGCCTTCTTCAACTGCTATATTTGTGTTCCGTCACGATTTATTTTCTGTGTAATATTTATGTCTAAGTCAACTAACACTGCTTTGTGGTCGCTTATGCCCTCAATGACGTGGAAAGATAAATACTCTTGCGGCCTAATTAAGTAAACATCTACAAGCGCCTCCTTCCTTGTTGGTCTATCTGCTACCTGTGCTAATCCCCTTTCTCAGACGAGTATGTTCCCTAACTGGTGTATTTTCACTTCGCTCACGGCGCCTTTACAATTTGCGTCTGGAATATTTAAATTGCCAGCAATAACTATAGGATGTCTATTGGCGTTTTCTATTATCAAAAGTGGCTTCCAAAAGCGCGTAATTTTTATTCAGTGACCTATACCAAGCAATAATTTTTAATACATTCCCTGAATCGCTAATTTCTACCCCAATATCTCAAATCCTTTACAATTACAAAGGCATTCCCTGAATGACTAATTACTTGCCCCATTATCTCAAATTCATTACTATCCCAATTTTTCCTTGCATCCTTAACACAAACGAATAAACACCCACCTCTAATAGTTTGAGAGATATCATCAATTTTCCAAATCTTTTCAATTCCCCTTAGCACGGACCCCCGCCCCCCCCCCAAAAAAAAAAACCTTTTTCCCCCCCCCCCCCCCCTCCCCCGGCTGGGTTTTTTTTGGGGGGTCCCAAAAACAAAAAAGTCCGGGGGGAAAGTCCCCCCCCAAACCCAAAGGCCCACCTTTCCCAAACTTTTGCCCCCTTCCCAAAATGGCGCCGTTTTCAGCAGTTTTGGCTTTTCGCGCATGTCCGTTTCCCGCATCAAGCAAGCGTACACCAACCAGGGCTTGCTAGGGCAATTTCCTACCCTTTTCGTTTTTGTTCTGCTGCAGAACTTGGAACTTTACCGACTGACTTGTGAGCCTCTTCTAGTTGCGTCTCCCGTTTTACTTGAGATTCCCCGATCGATAATAAATGATTACAAGGATCTGAGTTTGAATCAGAATATTTTCAGTTTTGGGAGTTTTTTTTCATGAAGTTCAACTACATTTCAAAAAAATTCTTAAAAATGACTCCAACTTTTTTTATTAAATTGGTGTCCGTGGTTAGTATTAAGGTCGCTTTTTCGATATGAAAACTATAAATTAGTACGAGTTTGTATAGACCTTGTTAAAACGTTATTGAGGATGGAACGTCGGTTTCCACGTACGCAATTTGAAAAGAGATTGGGAGAATTTGGCCGAAAATATTTAATGTGAAATTCTTGTTTTTAAAACACATTTAGTAGAAACTTTCAGGATATTAGAAGTTTGGCAAAATCTTGGGGAAGATACTTCAGCAGTTAATCATAACGTTCTAATGTACAGAAAAAATATGTCTCGGAAATGAAGACGGTAAAATTTGCCGATGATTCTAGATATATTGTTTAACGACCATATATTTGCTTTGTTTTTTGAATTTTTTTTTTATTTTCTGCATATTTACAATCTGTTCCTATCGGAAAAATAAGCAAATGATGTCAACAGATACATTTCGACGTGAACGTTTTATGACATTGAAAAATTTCGTTTACAAAATCGGTATGGCAGATCTAAAATACTCTCTCTCTCAGTCTATACACATCGCTCACTGTTATCTAGAAGGCTTGTTGAGAGGTGATTTGGGTGGTTGTACAATCTTCTCTGGTATGCTATGCTCTTCGTGAGCGATTTACTCCTCCAGCTGGACGATGTCGAGGTCTCTGTATATCGTTCTTGTTTGTCACGTACCATGATGCGTTGCATAGTTTTCTTAGTGTTTTATCTTCGAATCTTTTAGAATTTCTAGATTCGATTTACTGGAAGAGCTCCACAATTCAATACCATATGGTCCATGTTGGTTTTGATTATAGTTT